GATTTAGGGTGGGAGGATGAGTACAATAGGTAACTATGGCTGTCAGTAGGTTTGTAGTAGGCAGATGTAATCAATACGTTTTCTTTCAAAGTTACGGTGATATCAAGGAAGTTGACAGAATTTCCAGAGATTTGAGAAGTAAATTTTATTGATGGGTGAAATGAGTTTAAAAAATCTATAAATTTCTGGAGATCATTAGATCATGAGTAATGTTGACCGCTATGTCAATGGCTGCCACACATCCATGAGTAATGTTGACCACTATGTCAATGGCTGCCACACATCCATGAGTAATGTTGACCACTATGTCAATGGCTGCCACACATCCATGAGTAATGTTGACCACTATGTCAATGGCTGCCACACATCCATGAGTAGTGTTGACCGCTATGTCAATGGCTGCCACACATCCATGAGTAATGTTGACCACTATGTCAATGGCTGCCACACATCCATGAGTAATGTTGACCGCTATGTCAATGGCTGCCACACATCCATGAGTAATGTTGACCACTATGTCAATGGCTGCCACACATCCATGAGTAATGTTGACCACTATGTCAATGGCTGCCACACATCCATGAGTAGTGTTGACCACTATGTCAATGGCTGCCACACATCCATGAGTAGTGTTGACCACTATGTCAATGGCTGCCACACATCCATGAGTAGTGTTGACCACTATGTCAATGGCTGCCACACATCCATGAGTAGTGTTGACCACTATGTCAATGGCTGCCACACATCCATGAGTAGTGTTGACCACTATGTCAATGGCTGCCACACATCCATGAGTAGTGTTGACCACTATGTCAATGGCTGCCACACATCCATGAGTAGTGTTGACCACTATGTCAATGGCTGCCACACATCCATGAGTAGTGTTGACCACTATGTCAATGGCTGCCACACATCCATGAGTAGTGTTGACCACTATGTCAATGGCTGCCACACATCCATGAGTAGTGTTGACCACTATGTCAATGGCTGCCACACATCCATGAGTAGTGTTGACCACTATGTCAATGGCTGCCACACATCCATGAGTAGTGTTGACCACTATGTCAATGGCTGCCACACATCCATGAGTAGTGTTGACCACTATGTCAATGGCTGCCACACATCCATGAGTAGTGTTGACCACTATGTCAATGGCTGCCACACATCCATGAGTAATGTTGACCACTATGTCAATGGCTGCCACACATCCATGAGTAGTGTTGACCACTATGTCAATGGCTGCTACACATCCATGAGTAGTGTTGACCACTATGTCAATGGCTGCCACACATCCATGAGTAATGTTGACCGCTATGTCAATGACTGCCACACATCCATGAGTAGTGTTGACCACTATGTCAATGACTGCTACACATCCATGAGTAATGTTGACCGCTATGTCAATGGCTGCTACACATCCATGAGTAATGTTGACCGCTATGTCAATGGCTGCTACACATCCATGAGTAGTGTTGACCGCTATGTCAATGGCTGCCACACATCCATGAGTAATGTTGACCACTATGTCAATGGCTGCTACACATCCATGAGTAATGTTGACCGCTATGTCAATGGCTGCTACACATCCATGAGTAGTGTTGACCGCTATGTCAATGGCTGCCACACATCCATGAGTAGTGTTGACCACTATGTCAATGGCTGCTACACATCCATGAGTAGTGTTTACCACTATGTCAATGACTGCTACACATCCATGAGTAGTGTTGACCACTATGTCAATGGCTGCTACACATCCATGAGTAGTGTTGACCACTATGTCAATGGCTGCTACACATCCATGAGTAGTGTTGACCGCTATGTCAATGGCTGCCACACATCCATGAGTAGTGTTGACCACTATGTCAATGGCTGCTACACATCCATGAGTAGTGTTGACCGCTATGTCAATGACTGCTACACATCCATGAGTACTGGTGACGCTATGTCAATGGCTGAATTTGCAATGCTTTCATTTTACCACGCAAGGTGAAATTTTAGTAAATATTTGTCCGGATTATCATCAGGGTTTGTCATCTCACGGCGGAAATCTATTAATAGAACTGCTGCCATCATCCGGGTACTCGGGTCGGACAAAATGTAAATTCTGTCTCGGTACTACTATGTTAGCGAAGTGGCTTTTAGCCTAAATCAAAACTTGTTTACAACTATATTTTACGAAATGTTTTACAGATTTTTTTTAACTTGGTATTCAGTGAAATGAGACTACTTCAATGCGCCTAACACATGCAACATTGACTCAAGATGCAAGGATCTTCTGAACGATATCTTGAAACACACGATTATTAGCAGCAATATTTTAAGCAATATTGGTCCAACCAGGGCCGGCGCTAGGATGGGTGCGGGACCTTGGGCAAATCGAATTTTGCAGGGCCGTTGACGTTATATATTCCGCCGATAGGATATTAAGACACGTTCTAGCCGTAGGCTTAGGTACATTATAAATATGCTACGGCCACGCGTGGTCGCCCACTTCGCCATCCCCTAGCGCCGGCCCTGCGTCCAACGCTCTAAAAATAGTAACGCTATGACGGTTTCCGGTCTGAGAAATGACAAATCTCTATTGAAATGAATGCCGGCTGGCGTTGCGAATAGTCCGAAAATGTACTGAAAGTCCGTAAAAAATTTGACCTTGAACGACTTGACCCTTAAAGTCTGTAAAAAAAATGAAGCACTGTACACAAAATGTTTGATGAAATGCAAATCGAAATCTCATCTTTTGGCGGTGAAATTGTCTTGTTTCACATGCACGATAATAACTGAGAGAACATCAGTACCAAATGTATGATGATGGAATCTTAATTGCCATTCCCATGGCAATATTTTTTTTTTAAAACTAGTCGTATGAATATTTGAAGAAAAAAAATTAGCTTGTTCAGTTTATTTTTTAAAAATTGAAAATATTTTGAATGTGTGTCCGGAAATTGTAATTCTTTATTGAGTTTTCAACCCTGATAACGAATCCCTCCAAATAGCTCAAATTTATGACGTAAGATTGCGCTGCAACGTGATGGCGCGCTGCTGGAAATCCAACAAGATGATGTCATTGTGACGTAAAAACACGTAAATACTTTTAAAAATAAAGTGAATGAATGACCCTGACCTCTCTGAAACGCTCTGCTTGTGGGGGGGGGGTATCCAGAATCTAATCTCATGTCCCCCTCCCTCGGGGGAAGGAGGATTTATGGAGTAGTGACTACAACAAAACGTTGACCATCAGGCAATGTTGTGTACTACAGATGATGTTGTGTGTTGCAGATGATGTTGTGTGTTACAAATGATGTTGTGTGTTGCAGATGGTGTTGTGTGTTACAGATGATGTTGTGCGTTGCAGATGGTGTTGTGCATTACAGATGATGTTGTGTGTTGCAGATGATGTTGTGTGTTACAAATGATGTTGTGTGTTGCAGATGGTGTTGTGTGTTACAGATGATGTTGTGCGTTGCAGATGATGTTGTGTGTTACAGATGATGTTGTGTGTTGCAGATGGTGTTGTGTGTTACAGATGATGTTGTGTGTTGCAGATGATGTTGTGTGTTACATATGATGTTGTGTGTTGCAGATGATGTTGTGTGTTACAAATGATGTTGTGTGTTGCAGATGGTGGTGTGTGTTACAGATGATGTTGTGTGTTGCAGATGATGTTGTGTGTTACATATGATGTTGTGTGTTGCAGATGATGTTGTGTGTTGCAGATGATGCTGTGTGTTACAAATGATGTTGTGTGGTGCAGATGATGTTGTGTGTTGCAGATGATTTTGTGTGTTGCAGGGATAGAAGCAGCGGTGTTGTGAAGCCGGATTGGTCCGGTTTGGACTAACCGGTTGGTAAACTAGGACTTTCCTACCGAACCGGTTGTTTAAAATGTCAAGGTAAATAAAATAACAATGTAACAAAATCAATAGGCTAATTTATTGACTTTTTTTTTCTTTAAACCCGTTAAGTACCGAATCCGTTATTGCTCGATTGGCGAGACACCGATGAATAGAAGATGAGAATAAAAACTAAAGTCTCAAACGAGCAAAAAAAATATGAAGTTCAAATCTGTAATATCTCTGATTTTAGGATTGAAATTTAATTTTAGTTTTAGTTCCGTTCTTGCTGGCGTATGACTCTGAATTTAGTTTGTGCACTTGACCTAATGAGTTACTTCGATCTTATGTCCTCCACAGACAGAGTTTTTTATTTCTAAAACTCCAACTGGAGGTGTATTTGGATCAGCTCACTGGGACATCGAACGCATTGTCAACTCAACCCCCACCCTCAATGGAATTTTTTAATTTGCATTTTAATAAATGTAAGTGTTTTTGGGACTATGTTGTAAAGATATAGTTCTAAGGTCGTCATGAAGTCATAGTTTGAGAACCTCGTTTTATCAGCCTCCTTATCATAAAACTCATCACTGCTCTTACACACAGCCAGTGTGTCCATCCGATAACCAACGTATCACTAGTATTTTTTTCTAGTTTTAATCTCTTTTACATGTTTACTTTTAATCAGTAAATAATTTTTAAGTACTAAAACAAAAGCACACCAAGCCAGTGGCGTATACCGTAGAGAAAGTCAAGAGATTATTTAACAAACAAAAAGGAACCATGGATGTTGTTAAGCTTTTTTTTTCAATTTTTTATTCAAGCGGTTTTCGAAAAGCTCCCCCCCCCCCTTTTTTTATGCATAATACACCAGATGCGTAGAGAGAGAGTTTGGCGCCCGGGGCTAAGATTCGCGCCAAGGCACAGGATTCATTTAAAAGCGCCCCATTTTCTTTTTTTTAACAATAAACCTATTATTTCCATCAATAAAATAGTCTCAAAGCACATTTTGACACCCCTAACTAGCTGGCGCTTGCGGATATCTGTCCCTCCTGCCCCCCCCTTTGCTACGCCTCTGTAGTGTACCCACTCGTGGAGCTGCCCATGGAGGAGACAATAGGTTACAACAGTGCATTTAACTCCTGAAGGCCTGGTATGTATGCATACTTCATATCTGTGCTGATTGCTCTGCATTGTATCACACTCACGCTTTTGGGACTACATATATTCTAACTTTGTGACCAGAGATATTCTAACTTTGTGACTAGAGATATTCTAACTTTTTGACTAGAGATATTCTAATTTTGTGACCAGAGATATTCTAACTTTGCGACTAGAGATATTCTAACTTTGTGACTAGAGATATTCTAACTTTGTGACTAGAGATATTCTAACTTTGTGGCTAGAGATATTCTAACTTTGTGACTAGAGATATTCTAACTTTGTGGCTAGAGATATTCTAATTTTTTTACCAGAGATCTCCTAACTTTGTAGCTAGAGATATTCTAACTTTGTGACTAGAGATATTCTAACTTTTTGACTAGAGATCTCCTAACTTTGTGGCTAGAGATATTCTAACTTTGTGACTAGAGATATTCTAACTTTTTGACTAGAGATCTCCAAAGTTTGTGACTATAGATAGATATTTAAACTTTGTGACTATTTATATTCTAACATTTTAACCATAGATATTCAATCAGTTTACTTAACATATCAAGGGACGGCACTCTTAGAGAGTGTAATCAGTTTTGAGAGGAGTGTTTGGACGACATTTAACTTTTTTCGTTGTGTTATAGTGGTCTTCAGAAGTTTGGCGACTATTGGATGGGCAGGAACTGGTGGCCAGATAAGATGTCCAGTGTGAGACTGCACAATAACTTCTATGTAATAAATATATGTGAAACAAATTTAGTACATTTGTACAAAGGGATTAAAAGCAGGTCCGCTTAATATTAAATGAAGAGGTAGTACTTTAAATTTCAATCGCATTAGCAAACTAGCGTAGTGGATATGTGATACGTTAAGACTTAGTCCTAACCAACAGAGTGAGATATCTGAGCACAGATACAATCGGAGTTAGCAGATATACGGAAAAGGAGAACTAACGGATACTGAACAAGCCTCAGGATGGCGTTTCGTAACTGGGTAAGTAGAATGGAATTAGGCTCTACAATAGCCATGGGGCGTGCGCTTAAACTGTTAGAGCGAATGTGGAGTTGAGTCTGCTTGATCAATGAGATACAAACAGTTTGTGTAAACAAAACAATATAAAGTTTTTAACTTTTCAAAGTGGTTATACAGAATACAAAAGTAAACGCTTCGGCAAATCTCTTCATCGGTACAACAGCGACAAGAAACCCATTCATCGAAGAATAAATTAAAGTTACATGTTATATGATATATATATATATATATATATGCATCCTACCTAAAAGTGAAATAAAAGAATAAGAATGGGCAAAGGTCCCTTACAAAAACAAAGTTCAGAATAACGGAAAGTTAGGGGGTAGGAATAAAATTTAGAAACCCAACCGGAAAAAGACACTGCAGTTATGTAAAGTTGTGAATATGGTTTACACCGTATGGGGTCAACATCGCAGTGACTTCCATGTCAAATATTCTCTTTTTGATAAAGCGTTTTAAAATTGTGACTTAAATAGCAGAAAATACATTTAAGTTGCAGGATCGGTGCTAAAACGGAGGTTTTCATAAGTCAGTGATAAGCAAGAGTGCTAAACAGGAAGTCAGTGGTAAGGAAAGGTGCTAAACAGGAAGTCAGTGGTAAGGAAAGGTGCTAAACAGGAAGTCAGTGGTAAGCAAAGGGGCTAAACAGGAAGTCAGTGGTAGGCAAAGGTGCTAAACAGGAAGTCAGTGGTAAGCTAAAGTGCTAAACAGGAAGTCAATGGTAAGGAAAGGTGCTAAACAGGAAGTCAGTGGTAAGCTAAAGTGCTAAACAGGAAGTCAGAGGTAATCAGAAAGTGATTAAACTAAGTCTTGCATACCCCAAAGCCCCCCTCCCTTGCCAACGCCGTCAAGCCCCCCACTCTGGGGCCGCGGAGCAACACGTTGGAGGTACGCATCTGCTGGGACAGCCCCCATCCTCAAGCCCCCACTCTGGGACCACGGAGCGACACGTTAGAAGTACGTATCTGCTGGGACAGCCCCCGCCGACAACAGCAACAAAAAATTAAATTAATAAAAATGATAATCTATGTTCAAGTTCACTTTGTTTTGTTCCTGTCTTAGATCGGTCTGTTCCTGATGGGAGCCATCAACAACCTCCCTTACGTCATCGTCAACTCGGCTGCCAACACGATTGCGGACAGGTAATGTCGGTTACCAGAAATGTGTACAAAGGGTAGTTTCTCTAAAGAAATTTTTTCGAACGAGAGTTTTTTGGGACTGCTATATAAAGTTTGTTGGGACTGTTATATGAAAGTTTGGTGGGACTGTTATATTGTTGGGACTGTTATATAAAAGATTGTTGGGGCTGTTGTATAAAAGATTGTTATGACTGTTATATAAAAGTTTGTTGGGACTGTTATATAAAAGTTTTTTGGGACTGTTTTATAAATGATTGTTGGGACTGTTATATAACAGATTGTTGGGACTGTTATATAAAGATTGTTGGGGCTCTTATAGAAAAGATTGTTGGGACTTTTATATAAAAAATTGTTTGGGACTGTTATAGAAAAGATTGTTGGAACTTTTATATAAAAGATTGTTTGGACTGTTATATAAAAGATTGTTGGAGCTTTTATATAAAAAATTGTTGGGACTGTTATAGAAAAAATTGTTGGAACTTTTATATAAAAGATTGTTGGGACTGTTATGTAAAAGATTGTTGGGACTGTTATACACAATATTTGTGGGGCTGTTGTAGAAAAGAATTTTGGGACTTTTATATAAAAGATTGTTGGGACTGTTAAATAAAAGATTGTTGGGACTTTTATATAAAAAATTGTTTGGGACTGTTATAGAAAAGATTGTTGGAACTTTTATATAAAAAATTGTTGGGACTGTTATAGAAAAAATTGTTGGAACTTTTATATAAAAGATTGTTGGGACTGTTATGTAAAAGATTGTTGGGACTGTTATACACAATATTTGTGGGGCTGTTGTAGAAAAGAATTTTGGGACTTTTATATAAAAGATTGTTGGGACTGTTAAATAAAAGATTGTTGGGACTGTAAAAGAAAATATTGTTGGGGCTGTTATATAAAAGATTGTTGGGGCTTTTATATTAAAGATTGTGGGAGCTGTTATAGAAAAGATTGTTGGGACTGTTATAGAAAAGATTGTTGGGACTGTTATATAAAAGATTGTTGGGGCTGTAATAGAAAAGATTGTTGGGGCTTTTATATAAAAGATTGTGGGAGCTGTTATAGAAAAGATTGTTGGGACTGTTATATAAAAGATTGTTGGGGCTGTAATAGAAAAGATTGTTGGGGCTTTTATATAAAAGATTGTGGGAGCTGTTATAGAAAAGATTGTTGGGGCTTTTATATAAAAGATTGTGGGAGCTGTTATAGAAAAGATTGTTGGGACTGTTATATAAAAGATTGTTGGGACTGTAATAGAAAAGATTGTTGGGGCTTTTATATTAAAGATTGTGGGAGCTGTTATAGAAAAGATTGTTGGGACTGTTATATAAAAGATTGTTGGGGCTGTTATATAAAAGATTGTTGGGGCTGTAATAGAAAAGATTGTTGGGGCTTATATATAAAAGATTGTTGGGACTGTTGTAGAAAAGATTGTGGGAGCTGTTATAGAAAAGATTGTTAGGACTGTTATATAAAAGATTGTTGGAGCTGTTATAGAAAAGATTGTTGGGACTGTTATATAAAAGATTGTTGGGAGTGTTGTAGAAAAGATTGTTGGAGCTGTTATATAAAAGATTGTTGGGACTGTTATATAAAAGATTGTTGGAGCTGTTATAGAAAAGATTGTTGGACTGTTAAATAAAAGATTGTTGGGGCTGTAATAGAAAAGATTGTTGGAGCTGTTATAGAAAAGATTGTTAGGACTGTTATATAAAAGATTGTTGGGACTGTTGTAGAAAAGATTGTTGGAGCTGTTATATAAAAGATTGTTGGGACTGTTATATAAAATATTGTTGGAGCTGTTATAGAAAAGATTGTTGGACTGTTAAATAAAAGATTGTTGGGGCTGTAATAGAAAAGATTGTTGGAGCTGTTATAGAAAAGATTGTTGGGACTTTTATATAAAGCTGTTATATAAAAGATTGTTGGAGCTGTTATAGACAAGATTGTTGGGACTGTTATATAAAAGATTGTTGGGACTGTTGTAGAAAAGATTGTTGGGACTGTTATATAAAAGATTGTTGGGACTGTTATATAAAAGATTGTTGGGACTGTTATATAAAAGATTGTTGGGACTGTTAAATAAAAGATTGTTGGGACTGTAAAAGAAAATATTGTTGGGGCTGTTATATAAAAGATTGTTGGGACTGTTGTAGAAAAGATTGTTGGGACTGTTATATAAAAGAATGTTGGGACTGTTATATGAAAGATTGTTGGGACTGTTATATAAAAGATTGTTGGGACTGTTATATAAAAGATTGTTGGGACTGTTATATAAAAGATTGTTGGGACTGTTATATAAAAGATTGTTGGGACTGTTATATAAAAGATTGTTGGGACTGTTGTAGAAAAGATTGTTGGGACTGTTATATAAAAGATTGTTGGAGCTGTTATAGAAAAGATTAATGGGGCAGTTATATAAAAGATTGATGGGGCTGTAATAGAAAAGATAGTTGGAGCTGTTATAGAAAAGATTGTTGGGACTGTTATATAAAAGATTGTTGGGACTGTTATATAAAAGATTGTTGGGACTATTGTTGGGACTGTTATATAAAAGATTGTTGGGACTGTTATATAAAAGATTGTTGGGACTATATAAATGATTGTTGTGGCTGTAATAGAAAAGATTGTTGGGGCTTTTATATAAAAGATTGTTGGGGGTGTTATAGAAAATATTGTTGGGACTGTTATATAAAAGATTGTTGGGACTGTTATATAAAAGATTGTTGGGACTGTTATATAAATAATTGTTGTGGCTGTAATAGAAAAGATTGTTGGGGCTTTTATATAAAAGATTGTTGGGGGTGTTATAGAAAAGATTGTTGGGACTTTTATATAAAAGATTGTTGGGACTGTTATATAAATGATTGTTGTGGCTGTAATAGAAAAGATTGTTGGAGCTGTTATAGAAAAGATTGTTGGGACTTTTATATAAAAGATTGTTGGGACTGTTATATAAATGATTGTTGTGGCTGTAATAGAAAAGATTGTTGGAGCTGTTATAGAAAAGATTGTTGGGACTTTTATATAAAAGATTGTTGGGACTGTTGTTGGGACTGTTATATAAAAGATTGTTGGGACTGTTATATAAAAGATTGTTGGGACTGCTATATAAAAGATTGTTGGGACTGTTATATAAAAGATTGTTGGGGGTGTTATAGAAAAGATTGTTGGGACTTTTATATAAAAGATTGTTGGGACTGTTATATAAATGATTGTTGTGGCTGTAATAGAAAAGATTGTTGGAGCTGTTATAGAAAAGATTGTTGGGACTTTTATATAAAAGATTGTTGGGACTGTTATATAAATGATTGTTGTGGCTGTAATAGAAAAGATTGTTGGAGCTGTTATAGAAAAGATTGTTGGGACTTTTATATAAAAGATTGTTGGGACTGTTGTTGGGACTGTTATATAAAAGATTGTTGGGACTGTTATATAAAAGATTGTTGGGACTGCTATATAAAAGATTGTTGGGACTGTTATATAAAAGATTGTTGGGGGTGTTATAGAAAAGATTGTTGGGACTTTTATATAAAAGATTGTTGGGACTGTTATATAAATGATTGTTGTGGCTGTAATAGAAAAGATTGTTGGAGCTGTTATAGAAAAGATTGTTGGGACTTTTATATAAAAGATTGTTGGGACTGTTGTTGGGACTGTTATATAAAAGATTGTTGGGACTGTTATATAAAAGATTGTTGGGACTGCTATATAAAAGATTGTTGGGACTGTTGTTGGGACTGTTATATAAAAGATTGTTGGGACTGCTATATAAAAGATTGTTGGGACTGTTATATAAAAGATTGTTGGGACTGCTATATAAAAGATATTTTAACAGTTTACACTTCTCACTAGCACCTTCCCTTAAAAACAGTTTTCTAATTATTATTTTTGCTTTAATCTCAGTTTAATAAATTTAATTTTTCAACAAAATACTATCGAACAATTTTCAGTCGGAAAATTTTTTTTCGATCAAATTTCCAGGTTATGAGTAAAGTTGCCTACTTTTTTGTTTATCCGCTTACATTAATGAGCGCGACGTGAACGATGTCTTCTGGTTGCTTTGAAACCTCGCCTAGTTTAAACTTTTATGCAGATCTCACCGTCTGTTATCGTTCTAATGTGATTGATTTCAGCTGTTCAATTTTTCATAGACAGATGTTGATATTGATCCCGTTCTCCTCGTTCTGATCTGCAGGTTTGGTGAGAGTGATTTGGTCGGCGTCGTCTTTGGTGCTAACGTGGCCCTGTCTGTCTTTGTTAAATGTAAGACGGGCAATGAAGTCTGCTTTCCAATAGAATTGTATTACCGTTGCTCAATCAACCATTATATCAAAAAGAAAAGTTAATCTTAAAATCCAAAGGACAGAGTTCAATCGTTGAACAATGGCATAACAGCTCACTTGTAAACACAGATTTCACTGTCATAAAGATGGGGTGAACGCACTTCGGAAATGTTCAAAAACACACAAAAAACAAGCATTAACAGAAGCGTTGCTAAGGTTGGTGTCACCAGCTGCGGTCCGCAGCTCCCATCCTAGTGACGCCACTATTGATCAACACTGTTTGTATATGATTTATTGGTGTTGATAATGTACTTTAAAAAATATATTCAACATTTTAATTTACTTGAAATAAACGCAATGGCACGCTAAACCACAAAACTCTCAGACTAATCAATCTTAGACTAATCCATCTCAGACTAATCCATCTCAGACTAATCCATCTCAAACTACTCCATCTTAGACTAATCCATATAAGACTAATCCAGTTTAGACTAATTTATCTCAGACTAATCTATATAAGACTAATCCATCTCAAACCAATCCATCTCAGACTAATCCACCTCAAACCAATCATCTCCGACTAATCCATCTCAGACTAATCCATCTTAAACTAATCCATGTCAGACTAATCCATCTCAGACTAATCCATCTCAAAAAAAGACTGGCACCAACTAACTATTTCCTTTGCTTTACTTGTACAGCTCTCAACACCTTCGTGCTGCTGAATGCCTCCTACTCACTGAGGTTCATCGCCAATGGATTGATCATGCTCACGGGCAAGGCATTTACTTTAATGACGTAGACAATATTGCAATTTGTCTGGAACTAGTTGAATACGAAAAGGTTAAGGGGTTGGGGCGCGGGGGGGTTAACTATATTGTTTGATTTTTTTCGCGCATTTACAACTCAAAAGGTTGGGAGGGGGGAGGGGGGCGTAACACTTTTTTTAAAAACTTGTGTGGGTTGAAAGAAAATAAAACAGGGGGGTGGGGGGGGGGCTAATAAGATTATAATAATATATAAAGAATATTTCGTTACTTCACGGGTCGCAAAGGGTGGCGGGCCGCATGCGACCATCGGATCGTATGTTGGGCAGGCCTGATTTAATGTATTTCATTTTATGTCAAGAGAAATTATCTTCCAAACTTTCAATAGGTAGATATTTTTTTTAAGTCTTATGCTTTCGCATGGAGTCTTGTTCTAAATTTAACTATACCGTAGAGTCTCTTACTCTATGCTGGCTAAACCTTCGATGTCAACAATAAAGTATAAAATTCATCCTGAGAAAAATAGCCAAAAGTGAAATATTGAAATTGATGACCTCTATCAGCTTAAAGGCAATATTTCATAAGATGACCATGGCCATATTTAGACTTTACAATCATTCAGGACAGGGTTTCCCCGTACCTTTCTGAGACTCGCATCACCTCAAACTTGTCTCAACTTGATACATAACTTAATGTTAATCAATGTTTTTAAAGTATATTAATTGTTAAAGGTCTGCCTTCAAAGTCAACGCTTCATGGGTTCTTAGAATGACCTTTCCTGATGCCCCCTAAAATAAACTCCCTCCCCCCAACCCCAGGGCATTACGAGCAGTCATGATTAAAGGTAATTGAACTCTCTTGTAATGGAGAAAAATGAAACATAGATTTATTTTTGTATGTTAATTTTGTTTGTGAAACTTTTTTTTTAAAAAGTCGTCTTAAAAAGTTTTAACAAACATTTTAGTATATATATTTACATGTTTAATGTTGTAATTTTTTTCTTCTCTCAAGGACTTTTTGGCATCGCTTATGCTTTCAACTTTGGATTTGCCATCGCCTGCATTGTGAGTTTGGTCACTGTCCCGTCTCAATAGGATTTGTCTTGTCAATCATAAAATACAAGATTTATTTGTACAGGAGCTAGTCACACTCCCTGAAGTAGCTAGAGTTTAGGACGCCTTTGCTCTGTCTACGCTCCTGGTCCCACCATTAGAAAGGGATTACCTTTACTAATGTCTCTATGTCTTAGCAGAGCAGCCATGTAACTTCGTGGTCACACGATTAGCAAGGGATTACATTGTCTTATGTCTCACTGTCTTAACAGAGCAGCCGTGTAGCTTCGTGGTCACACGATTAGCAAGGGATTACATTGTCTTATGTCTCACTGTCTTAACAGAGCAGCCGTGCAGCTTCGTGGTCACATGATAAGCAAGGGATTACATTGTCTTATGTCTCACTGTCTTAACAGAGCAGCCTTGCAGGTTCGTGGTCGCACTATTAGCAAGGGATTACAATGTCTTATGTCTCACTGTCTTAACAGAGCAGCCCTTTAGCTATGTCGTGTTATCAGAGCATACAACCCCTGCGCATGCGTTAGGGACTCGGAAATGTAAGGGGCCAAAAGTTGTAATATCGATTTTTTTCCTTAATTTTATTGGAGAGTAGTTTAAATTGCATTGAATTGCTCAGTGAAGAAAACGGAAAAATTACAGAGAGTCTCAATGGCCCTGCGTGCTATACGATATGTTTAAGATTTATTTCATTGTTACGTTTGTGCTATATGTGATATTTATGATTTATGTTAGATTTATCATTTATGTCGTATGCATCATTAATGTTATAATAACGCTAGGTGTTAGATTTATCATATTTTTCACATTTATGGTTATGGTTATGTTTATGGTTATGTTTATGGTTATGTTTATGATTATGTTTATGGTTATGTTTATGGTTATGTTTATGGTTATGTTTATGTTTCAGGCCGTGGTTGGATCAAGTTCAGCTTTTGGGGAAAAGTAAGTTTTCACATTTGGTAATGTGCACTGTTCACAATTTTCAGATCTAAAGTAACAATAACAAATTACCCTCTTTTTTTTTTTTTGGCTGTCACAGTGGACTGAATTAAATTGAAAATCTGGTTAATAAAAGCTTGGCTGTTGTCCCGGGGATGTGTTTAAAAAAAAAAAAGCTGTATTAAAAAAAGGGTGTGTACAACTTTTTGTGAGTNAAAAAGCTGTATTAAAATAAGGGTGTGTACAATTTTTTGTGAGTAATGGTAAATATTTTTTTTTTTTTTTTTAAACCAGGGTGAATTTATATTTTTGAATAGGTAGTTATTAGATTTTTCGCTAGGAATTTTGTTCCTATAATTTTTTGTGTGATAGAATGTGCAGGAGTTTTGGACACAACTATTTTATTCTAAAAACACTGATTATTTCTTATGGATTTTCGACTGTGATGTACATGAAGTCAGTAAGTAAGTAAGTACGATGATTTCATGGTGACTGTAAAAACGCGCAAACTGGAATGGTATGGCCACGTGACAAAGAAACAAGGACTCGCCAAAGAAATCATGCAGGGCACCACGAGAGGAGGGAGAATAAGAGGAAGACAGAGAAGAAGATGGGAGGATAACATCAAAGAGTGGACCGGACTAATACTTGGTGATGCTGTGCGTGTGCAGAGGACAGAGACGAATGGAGGAGGATGGTTCACATGTCATCTGTGGCGCCCTAACGGTCCAAGGACTAAGGGACATGATGATGATGACGATGATGAAGTAAAGAACCCTGAAACATTTGTTCACAATTTGTTATTTGAATCATACAAAACATCAGCTCTTCGGGGGCTAGGAGGTTATACAACATATCAGCTCTACATGAGCTAGGAGGTCATACAACATATCAGCTCTACATGAGCTAGGAGGTCATACAACACATCAGCTCTACATGGGTTAGGAGGCCATATAACACATCAGGACCTCAATCGGTTAGCAGAGTAGGAGATGAGCTGGGATATGGAATTTCATCCCGTCAAGTGCCAGACCCTATCAGTCTCCAGAAGCAGATTCCCTCTAAACCACTCTTACGAATTGCATGGCCATATTCTTGAGCCAGTTTCCTCAGTAAAGTACCTAGGTGTTACCATTCAAAGAGAGGTCCGCTGAGACGAGCACATTAACAATGTGTGCAACGGGCGAACAAGACCCTGGGGTTCCTAAGGCGCAATTTGAAGATCGGCAACTCAAGCATGAAAGAAAAAGTCTATCAAGCCTTTGTCCGGACGCTTTTAGAGAACGCATCTTCAGTCTGGGACCCATTCACCCAGAAAAGCATCCACAGGCTGGAGTTTGTCCAGCGTCTAGCAGCCCGCTTTGTCCTGAGCCGCTACAGAAACACTTCATTTTTGGCAGCATGCTGGAAACACTGGGCTGGTCACCATTGGAAGAACGACGACGACTATCCAAGCTCACCATGTTGTACAAGATAAAAAATGGCTGGTCCACTGCTCCCCGCATCAAAACAGAAACTCGTCCATCTTCACCCTAGACAGTGACGAGGTCATGACAAACAGTTCTGGCTAAAAAAAAAAAAAAAAAAAAACTTGGAAAAGGCGCCCCCCCCACCCAAAAAAAAAAAAAATAAGAACGACGACGACTATCCAAGCTCACCATGTTGTACAAGAAAAAAAATGGCTGGTCCACTGCTCCCCGCATCAAAACAGAAACTCGTCCATCTTCACCCTAGACAGTGACGAGGTCATGACAAACAGTTCTGGCTAAAAAAAAAAAAAAAAAAAGAACTTGGTAAAGGAGCTCCTCATTCCTGCCAAAGACAAAAAGGGACTGGAACAAGCTTCCAAAAGCAACAGTCGAGGCGGCTACACTCGACACATTTGGGTCTATTGCCTCCTGTTTTCCCTCCCCCCCCCCCACCGTTCATAACACCACTGCTGAGTCGCCCTTGCAACCAGTGACGTATCCCATTGAAACCCATGTACAGTAACATCGCAAACCCCTCTGAAACATAGGAGCCAGAATGATCAATTCATTTATCAAAATAAAGAAATAAGAAACATCAGTTCTACTGGGGCTAGGAGGTCATACAACACATCAGCTCTGCAAAGGCTCATAGGAAAGGAATTTGGACTCTGGAATTGTTTCTGTAGCCATAACGAACTGGACCCAACTTCTAGACAACTTTATTTGACCACAATGATCCAAACCTAAAGGGACAAGTAAGATGACTTAATTTTCTTCTTATTTTTTTTTTATTTCACGTTTAATTTGTTAATACTGTGTTTGACATCTTTTCTAGTGTGACCTTGGGCTTCTTGTCATGGTTCCCGAGTTCAATGGTCAACGCCTGGTCAAGTGGTACAGGAATGGCTGGCCTACTGGGGGCGTCTCTATTCATTATATTTGGTGAGTAGATTCAGATATATCCAAAGAAATAGTGTAAACCCCGCCCCCTAACCAAGTAACTTGATTAGAAACACAAAAATTGTGTCAATAAAACAATGTATGTTCAGCTTTAGACACAAACAAATTGTGTCAATAAAGCAATGTATGTTCAGCTTTAGACACAAACAAATTGTGTCAATAAAACAATGTATGTTCAGCTTTAGACACAAACAAATTGTGTCAATAAAACAATGTATGTTCAGCTTTAGACACAAACAAATTGTGTCAATAAAACAATGTATGTTCAGCTTTAGACACAAACAAATTGTGTCAATAAAACAATGTATGTTCAGCTTTAGACACAAACAAATTGTGTCAATAAAACAATGTATGTTCAGCTTTAGACACAAACAAATTGTGTCAATAAAACAATGTATGTTCAGCTTTAGACACAAACAAATTGTGTCAATAAAACAATGTATGTTCAGCTTTAGACACAAACAAATTGTGTCAATAAAACAATGTATGTTCAGCTTTAGACACAAACAAATTGTGTCAATAAAACAATGTATGTTCAGCTTTAGACACAAACAAATTGTGTCAATAAAACAATGTATGTTCAGCTTTAGACACAAACAAATTGTGTCAATAAAACAATGTATGTTCAGCTTTAGACACAAACAAATTGTGTCAATAAAACAATGTATGTTCAGCTTTAGACACAAACAAATTGTGTCAATAAAACAATGTATGTTCAGCTTTAGACACAAACAAATTGTGTCAATAAAACAATGTATGTTCAGCTTTAGACACAAACAAATTGTGTCAATAAAACAATGTATGTTCAGCTTTAGACACAAACAAATTGTGTCAATAAAACAATGTATGTTCAGCTTTAGACACAAACAAATTGTGTCAATAAAACAATGTATGTTCAGCTTTAGACACAAACAAATTGTGTCAATAAAACAATGTATGTTCAGCTTTAATCGTCATCATACAGGATTCAAATGTAGATATTTTGGCAAATGCCTTCATCGGTACAAAAAAAAAATAATAAAATTTAAAAAAAACCGATAATATAAGTATAAATAAAACTTAAATAATATATATGTATACATGTATCTTACCTGAAAATGAGAAAAAAGAATAAGAGTGGGCGCAAGTCCCTGACAAAGTCAACCCCCCCCCCCTTTTTTTTTTTCCAATCCCGTCTTTTCCACTTTCCAGTTGTTGTTTTTAATCAGAACCAACGTTTAAAAAAAAAAAAAATCCTTTCACAATTGAGGTCAAAAAAATGAATTATTATTTTATTTTAGTATTTATTCGACCTTGAATTTGTAAAGCACTATTGTATTCACTATGATTGTATTCACTATGATGTTATTCACTATGATTGTATTCAGATGTATTCACTATGATTGTATTCACTATGATTGTATTCACTATGATATTATTCACTATGACTGTATTCACTATGATGCTATTCACTATGATTTTATTCACTATGATGTCATTCACTATGATTGTATTCACTATGATGTTATTCACTATGATGTTATTCACTATGATTGTATTCAGTATGATTGTTTCACTATCTTTCAATTCACTATGATGTTATTCTCTATGATTGTATTTACTATATTTCTATTCACTATGATGTAATTCAATATGATTGTATTCACTAGGATTGTATTCACTATGATGTTATTCACTATGATGTAATTCAATATGATTGTATTCAATATGATTGTATTCACTATGATTGTATTCACTATGATGTTATGAACATGATGCTAATTTGCATCACGCAATGCACCGCGGGACCTTGATTAGCTAACTTGACTTATTCAGAATATATTTCTTGAAAACCTTTACCATAAAACTTCATTGCTCGTTTCTTCATTTGAACAGGCTGTTCCGTGGGTCATGGTGGTGACAAGACATCAAAACTACAGAATCTCAACAAGTAAGACAAGCTCATTGGTGCACAACGGTATTTCAAATATGGAGTAAAACAAAATAATGCGTTCCAAAAGAAATTTGATGAAAATTTGATTGTGTGAACTCATCGATTGTTATCAACAAAATTATTGCTTGGGAACACCGTTTGGTAGTGGTGAAACCATTTTGTGGTGATGAGACGGTTTAGTGGTGCTGAGACCGTTCAGCGGTGCTGAGACCATTTAGTGGTGCTGAGACCGTTCAGCGGTGCTGAGACCGTTTAGTGGTGCTGAGACCGCTCAGCGGTGCTGAGACCATTTAGTGGTGCTGAAACCGTTCAGCGGTGCTGAGACCGTTTAGTGGTGCTGAGACCGATTCTGGTGCTGTGACCATTTAGTGGTGATGAGACCGTTCAGGGGTGATGAAACTGTTTAGTGGTGATGAGACCGTTTAGTGGTGCTGAGACCATTTAGTGGTGCTGAGACCGTTCAGTGGTGCTTGTTTAGTGGTGCTGAGACAGTTTCTGGTGGTGTGACCATTTAGTGGTGATGAGACCGTTCAGGGGTGATGAAACTGTTTAGTGGTGATGAGACCGTTTAGTGGTGCTGAGACCATTTAGTGGTGCTGAGACCGTTCAGTGGTGCTGAGACCATTTAGTGGTGCTGAAACCGTTCAGCGGTGCTGAGACCATTTAGTGGTGCTGAGACCAATTCTGGTGCTGAGACCATTTAGTGGTGATGAGACTGTTCAGGGGTGATGAAACTGTTTAGTGGTGATGAAACCGTTTAGTGGTAATGTTGACTGTTCTATGACCACCACCACAGGTATGCCTTCTTGTTGACAACACCAGTGGTCCTCATCTACTGGCTGGCTTATTTCGTCATCGTCAAACGTCCGCTCCACAAGTACGACGCTGACCAGGCTGTGACACCTGACTTGGCGGTCGGGAACAGAAGAAGCAGGGAGGTGACGGGGGAGGAGAGGGGTGCAGTTACCAGGGACAACGAGGATGGGGAGAAACAAGAGGAGAGAAACATTCAAGGTAAGCAGTAAAACAATTCCCCACCCCGGTTAGTTACCCATCCCATTCCCTAACAAGTTTACGCATCCCTTTCTCTAACCAGTTTACCCATCTCATTCTCTAACCAGTTTACCCATCTCATTCTCTAACCAGTTTACCCATCTCATTCTCTAACCAGTTTACCCATCTGATTCTCCAACCAGTTTACCCATCTCATTCTCCAACCAATTTACCCACCACATTATCTAACAACTTTACCCATCTCATTCTCTAACCAGTTTACCCATCTCATTCTCTAACCAGTTACCCATCTCTTTCTCTAACCAGTTTACCCATCTCATTCTCCAACCAGTTTACCCATCACGCTATCTAACAAGTTTACCTATCTCATTCTCTAACCAGTTTACCCATCTCATTCTCCAACCAGTTTACCCATCACGCTATCTAACAAGTTTACCTATCTCATTCTCTAACCAGTTTACCCATTACATTCACTAAAAATTATACTAAACCAGTTTACTCACCCCGTTCTCTAAAAATTGTAGTCATCTCATCCATTAACAAGTTTACCATATCCCATCCACTAACAAGTTTACCACATCGCATGCACTCCTATGAGCTAACAGCTCATGCACTCCTGTGTGCTAACGTATCATGTATGGTAAAGGCTCATGTGTGCTAAAGGTTCATGTGTGCTAACGGCTCATGTGTTCTAACGGCTCATGTGCTCTAACGGCTCATGTGTGCTAAAGGCTCATGTGTGCTAACGGCTCATGTGTGCTTGCGGCTCATGTGTGCTAACGGCTCATGTATGCTAACGGATCATGTGTGCTAGCGGCTCATGTGTGCTAACGGCTCATGTGTGCTACAGGCTCATTTGTGCTAACGGCTCATTTGTGCTATTAACGGATCATGTGTGCTAGCGGCTCATGTGTGCTAACGGCTCATGTGTGCTACAGGCTCATTTGTGCTAACGGCTCATTTGTGCTAACGGCTCATGTGTGCTTGCGGCTCATGTGTGCTAACGGCTCATGTGGGCTAACGGCTCATGTGTGCTAACGGCTCAAGTGTGCTAGGGGCTCATGTGTGCTAAAGGCTCATGTGTGCTAACGGCTTATGTGTGCTAGCGGCTCATGTGTGCTAACGGCTCATGTGTGCTAACGCCTCGTGTGTGCTAACGCCTCGTGTGTGCTAACGCCTCATGTGTTTTCTCTGTTGTTGTTGTGTCCACACAGACGAGTTGGCTGAAGCACGGGAGACAACTCAACTGTTGGAGACCAGGGAAACCAGCTGCAGGAGGATTTTACGATGTTTCAAGCTGGTCTTCTGGTTGGGGATTAATGTGAGTTAATGGAAACTGATGTTTCACAGTTATGTTACGCTTTCACATTAACTGTCCACTAAACCATTTTCAAAGTAAATAAATAGCCCAGTCTTGGCGTTTAAAAACTATTTTTAAATAGAGCTTAAAATATCAAAGGGAGGTTACACAATTATTTATTTTTAAAAAAGTTACTTAACGACACGTTGTCAGACGGAACAAATCGGCCACGTAAATTTGAATGGGGTTTTCAGTTATCACATCAATCAATGGGTTTAAAATGTATGAATAAATAGATTTTCTTTGTTTCTACCAGCCCCCACTCCCCCCCCCCCACACACACTCTATAGCCACCCTTAAGTAAAATGTCTTAAATAAATCCAACCAGACCCATCTCCAACATTTCATAATAATAAAAACATATTTTTAATGATTACTTCTAATCACTTCTTTGTGTTATTTTTTCAGTTATGTAATTCTCAAATTGCCACATACACATTTAGGATCACTGATGATATTTATGTTATATACTTGAAGAAAAGTCTAACGTACAATAACTTGTTTGTAGAAAGAGAGAAGGTGAACGGGAGACAGAGTAACTATACAATCTTCAGTGTTGCATAAATTATCATATTTTATTATTGTTTAACACATGTCCCCTAGCTGTGTGGCGTGTTATTTTACAATTATTTAACACATCTGACCCCACAGCTGTGTGGTGTGTACGTGTTTGAGTATGTGGCCAGGGGTTGTGCGGCCAAAGTCCGTCCCAGTAAAGAGTACAACATTGGATGTCCTGAGCTCTACGCATCACTGCAGTTGTGCTACCAGGTAGTAAATAAAGCCTCACTAAACTTGTGCTACCAGGTAGTAAATAACGCCTCATTACGCTTGCGTTAACAGAAACTCAATAAAGCCTCATTACGCTTGCGTTAACAGAAACTCAATAAAGCCTCATTACACTTGTGCTAACAGGTATTAAATATAAACTGACCATTCATATACTGTTGACAAATCGTACACTGACCAATCGTACCTGACCGCCCGTACCTCAATGATCATACAGTGACCAATCGCACACTGACAAAACGTACACTGACCAATCGTACACTGACCAATCGCACACTGACCAAACGTTCACTGACCAATCGTACACTGACCAATCGTACACTGACCAAACGTACACTGACCAATCGCACACTGACCAATCGTACACTGACCAATCGCACACGACCAAACGTACACTGATCAACGTACCCTGACCAATCGTACACTGACCAATCACACACTGACCAAGCGTACACTGACCAATCACACACTGACCAAGCGTACACTGATCAATCGCACACTGACCAAGCGTACACTGACCAATCGTACACTGACCAATCACACACTGACCGAGCGTACACTGACCAATCACACACTGACCAAGCGCACACTGACCAATCGCACACTGACCAATCGTATCTCTTGGGCTGTTCCCTTTTAGGCTGGTGTGTTCGTGTCGCGGTCAAGTGTCCAGATGTACAGAATACGGCGTGTGGAAGTGCTCACAGTCTTACAGTTCATCAATATGATGTTGTGGATAGTGGATGTGCATGTGAGTCTATGGATGTAATGTTGTGGATTGTGCATTTCTATGTGATGTCCATCAGAGGATGCGATGTTGTGGATAGTGGATGTCCACGCGAGTCTATGGATGTGGTGTTGTGAATAGTGGATATCTATGTGAGTCTAAAGATGTGATGTTGTTGATAGTGGATGTCCATGTTAGTATATGGATTTAATGTTGTGGATTGTCGATGTCCATGTGAGTCTATGGATGAATATTGTGGATAATGGATATTGATGTGATTAAATGGATGTAATGTTGTGGATATAGGATATCGATGTCAGTAGAGGGATGTGATGTTGTGGATAGTGGACTTCCATATGAGTCAGTGAATACGAGGTGGATAGTGAATGTCCACTTGAGTCAGTGGATGTGATGTTATGAATCGTGGATATCGATGTTAGTAGATGGATGTTGTGGATGGTGGATGTTCGTGTAATTAAATGGGGTGATATTTTCAATAGTGGATGTTAATGGGCGTCGGTGGATGTGCTGTTGTGGATACTGGATGTTCATGTCAGTCCATTGAGGTGATGTCACATCTTCCCATAATTGTATTGTTCATCCTTACTTAAATCTATCCCAGAAGTCAGTATGTCATTTCATACATGTTGTTCAATTAATGTTCCCTCATATCGAAGCCAATGACGTACTGTCATAAATATCAGGGCAAGCTTGATGACGTTACAAAATGTTTTCATGTGTCGTCCCGTTTTGTCCACGTAGCAAGTTGTCACCGAGTTGCCACGCGTATATTTGTGATCTCACTGCTCCTCTTGGTGGAGTAATGCACGTTTCTATGAAATATGCACGTTTTTATGGAGCAATGCATTTTTTGATGGAGTAATGTACGTTTTTTTATTGAGTAATGCACGTTTTTTTAATGGAATAATTCATCTTGAACGACGAATCCCGCAGAATCATGTCGACCTTTCATACGGGGCTCAAGATGATGGTCAACAAGCAGACTAATTCTGTGACCGTGTGTCTATATATAGCCTGGCTCAGAGCAACCCCACATACTCTGGGCTAGCTCATTATGTGCAAAGTGGCAGGTAAGAACCACCAGGCAGGGCTTGCAAACAATGGTTTGCCTCGAGAGTAAGGAGACACGCCTTTGTGCGTTGTGAGCGAATCAGAGTCCTGTCCGCTCTTGGCGACCCGAGTGCTGAAGAACAGACACCCATGACGTAAAGGGCTGAAGAACAGACACGCGTGAAGTGAAGGGCTGAAGAACAGACACCCATGAAGTGAAGTGCTGAAGAGCAGACACCCGTGAAGTGAAGTGCTGAAAGAACAGACACCCTTGAAGTGAAGTGCTGAAGAACAGACACCCATGAAGTGAAGAGCTGAAGAACAGACAACCGTGAAGTGAAGAGCTGAAGAACAGACACCCGTGAAGTGAAGAGCTGAAGAACAGACACCCGTCAAGTGAATTGCTGAAGAACATACACTCGTGAAGTGAAGTACTGAAGAACAGACACCCGTGAAGTGAAGTGCTGAAAGAACAGACACCCTTGAAGTGAAGTGCTGAAGAACAGACACCCGTGAAGTGAAGAGCTGAAGAACAGACAACCGTGAAGTGAAGAGCTGAAGAACAGACACCCGTGAAGTGAAGAGCTGAAGAACAGACACCCGTGAAGTGAATAGCTGAAGAACAGACACCCGTCAAGTGAATTGCTGAAGAACATACACTCGTGAAGTGAAGTACTGAAGAACAGACACCCGTGGAGTGAAGTGCTGAAGAACAGGCACCCGTGAAATGAAGTGCTGAAGAACAGACACCCGTGTAGTGAAGTACTGAATAACAGACACCCTTGAAGTGCTGAAGAACAGACACCCGTGAAGTGAAGTGCTGAAGAACAGGCACTCGTGAAGTGAAGTACTGAAGAACAGACACCCATGAAGTGAAGTGCTGAAGAACAGACACCCGTGAAGTGAAGTGCTGAAGAACAGACACCCGTGAAATGAAGTGCTGAAGAACAGACACCCGTGAAGTGAAGAGCTGAAGAACAGGCACCCGTGAAGTGAAGTACTGAAGAACAGACACCAGTGAAGTGAAGAGCTGAAGAACAGTCGTGAAGTGAAGTGCTGAAGAACAGACCCGCGTGAAGTGAAGTGCTGAAGAACAGACATCCCTGAAGTGAAGTGCTGAAGAACAGACACCCGTGAAGTGAAGTGCTGAAGAACAGACACCCGTGAAATGAAGTGCTGAAGAACAGACACCCGTGAAGTGAAGTGCTGAAGAACAGGCACCCGTGAAGTGAAGTACTGAAGAACAGACACCCGTGAAGTGAAGAGCTGAAGAACAGACACCCGTGAATTGAAGTGCTGAAGAACAGACACCCGTGAAGTGAATAGCTGAAGAACAGACACCCGTGAAGTGAAGAGCTGAAGAACAGACACCCGTGAATTGAAGTGCTGAAGAACAGACACCCGTGAAGTGAATAGCTGAAGAACAGACACCCATGAAATGAAGTGCTGAAGAACAGACACCCGTGAAGTGAAGAGCTGAATAACAGACACCCGTGAAGTGAAGAGCTGAAGAACAAACACCAGTGAAGTGAAGAGCTGAAGAACATACACTCGTGAAGTGAAGTACTGAAGAACAGACACCCGTGAAGTGAAGTGCTGAAGAACACACATCCATGAAGTGAAGTTGAACTTTGTGTTTTAAAATATGCCGTCATTCAATCTTTGAAGTAGGTTTGTCCCCTCTCAACCCCACCCCCCCCCCATTCTTTGGTGTTGCCAACGACACTGTGTGCCCTACACCCACTACCGGACTGATTACATGACATTAAAAGTATCTCCTGACCTTCAGGTGTCACAGGTATCTCCTGACCTTGAATCGTCATATCATCTCTGTCCATATAACAGTTGACAAGCGTTAAGCTGGTTTTTATGGTATATCAATAATCTTATCCTTTTTCGTCTAATCAAACTATATCATTCTATCTCTCGCTCTCATTCTTTCTTCATTAGTTCATTTCAATCATAAGTCTTCATCTTTCTCTCTCTGTCTTTCTCTCCCTCTCTTTCTCCTTCAAATACTTCAGTCAATCTCTACTTTGTCAATGATTATTTTCTTTTCACTGTATCCTTTAACTTTAATCACAATTTTCTTTCTTTTGCAATCACTTTCTCTCCTAAATTTTTTTTTCTTCTAAAAACACACTCTCTCTAAATAATATTACTCTGTCCCTCTGTGTCTCTTCATCTCTCTATCTCTCTCTCTCTCTCTCTCTCTCTCCCTCTTAATAATCACACTCATGAGAACATACTTGTACGAGCTACCACAACTGACATCTCTCTTTGTAACATCCCCCACATCCACACACCACACTGCCCCCTCCCAACAGATACACACACGCAAACACTCACAATCAGTATATTCCAGATTAATGATAAACGTGAATATTAATTCCATGTTTCGATCAAAATTTCACCGGACTGACCAAGGCTACAACTGACCAAATGGCCAACTGACCAAGGCTACAACTGACCAAATGGCCGACTGATCAAGAGCCAGATTGACTCGCTAGCTTTAAAGAGTACCAAAACGCTCGAATACAAGTCATCCCCCTTATTTCGTTGCAGTAGTCATCTCCCTTATTCCGTTGCAGTAGTCATCTCCCTTGTTTCGTTACAGTAGTCATCTCCCCTGTTTCGTTACAGTAGTCATCTCCCTTGTTTCGTTACAGTAGTCATCTCCCCTGTTTCGTTACAGTAGTCATCTCCCTTGTTTCGTTACAGTAGTCATCTCCCTTGTTTCGCTGCAGTAGCCATCTCGCTTGTTCCATCGCACTAGTCATCTCCCTTATTTCGTTGCAGTAGTCATCTCCCTTGTTTCGTTACAGTACAAGTTCATCCCCGTGGCCGCCCTCCCGGCTCTCATGATCTACGTCGGCCTACTCGGTGGCGCCTCCTATGTCAACATCTTCTACACGCTTCTGCACGACGGGGATTTCCCAAAGAAGGACCGAGAACTCTGCGTCAATTTGACGGGACTCTTCATCAACTTTGGTGAGGAAACTAATTCAAGCTATGTGACTGTGTGTTATTTCTTGTAAGAAAAATAATTCAAGCTATGTGACTGTGTGTTAATTCTTGTAAGAAAACGAATTCAACCTATGTGACTGTGTTTTATTTCCCGTGAAGTATTTTTTTCTCTTCCACTCTTCTGACACCAAGTGTCAGCTCCCCAAAAGTAAGGTATTTAATCCCATGTTCCATATCCTCAGTTCATTCTGAAATTATTATAAGGGCATCACCATTGATTTTTTTTAAATTTTAATATTTGTTTTAGTATTTATGCTTACACTTACATTAATGACTATAATTAAAGTTTTAAAATATATTTAATATAAATTTCACTTAAAGGTAGAGTTTTTATATCCATATGAATTCTGTCATTGACACTTGGGCCGCTTGGTTTTGAGAATCAATTCTACAACAAAATCCTTTATTAGGCTTCTCAATTTCCCACAGGAATCGTGCTTGGCACAGGCCTGGAGACTTTGCTCTTTACAACAGTTCTCTGACCTCACTCAACTCCAGGGGCATCATCTGCAAGGCGAACAGAAATAGGCATTGACTCACTGAACATTGATTAGTTTACCGTCTAAATAAGGGGTCGCCCATCTTTTTTCACCGCGGGACAATTTTTTTTTTTAAATTATCTCTGCTAAGTAAAATATTTCAGGATTATTTAAATGAATCAAACAGTAGAGATGAAACAACAAACGAAAGACAAAAGAGACGCATCCATTCTTAAGGAGAGCCAGCACCTGGAGCCGTGGGTTGCCGACCCCTGGACTTTGTGGACGGTGGATTCAGAATGAGCCGTTCGAAACAAAACAACACAAAAGACTAGAAAGCCTGCGCCATTGTGACATAATCTGGGTTAATCACTTCAGCATTGATTTTCTTTTTATTAAAAAATAATGAAACTAAGTAGATTCGACTCAAACCCTGATCAAGCTGGTTATAAACAGAAGATGACAACAATGGCTCATTAAGAGGGTTACATGGTGTCAACACTTCCGTGTTAAAACTCGAACGTACTTTTTTTTTTTCCTACGCGTGCAATATGTGGCAATAAGGTTGTATGATAAACTCATTGTGTGTCCTTCGTGATAAGCTCATTGTGTGTCCTTCGTGATAAGCTCATTGTGTGTCCTTCGTGATAAGCTCATTGTGTGTCCTTCGTGATAAGCTCATTGTGTGTCCTTCGTGATAAGCTCATTGTGTGCCCTTCGTGATAAGCTCATTGTGTGTCCTTCGTGATAAGCTCATTGTGTGTCCTTCGTGATAAGCTCATTGTGTGTCCTTCGTGATAAGCTCATTGTGTGTCCTTCGTGATAAGCTCATTGTGTGTCGTCCGTAAATAATATTTGATTCGGCAGCAAAAACAACATTCATATATGCTCACAATTTTCTGGGAATAAAAATAGTGGTTTTAATATTTTTTACAAATAATATATAATTAAATACTGTAATTAAACAATAAAGATGCCAGAGTGTAAGTAAAGGGACAGAATTGATGTAAAATTCTTTAAATTTTGACGATTCAAATGAGCAATGTAATTAAATTTTAATCTTAAAAATCAATTAATTGATGACGTCATTACATACTTTTGTAGTGTTTGCGTTGCACGTCATTATGCAACCCAGATGTAATAATATATTTATAATAGCGATCTTTCGTATGAGCGTAATAAATGCATTTTTAAAAAAATTAAAAAGCTATTAATATATCCAGTGTTATGTCGTCATCCTGTTTTTCTGTATGTGGAGTGGTACTTCTATAAAGTGACCATTGCTACTGATTTTACGAGGTCGGTACTGACATTTGAACTTTGTCTTCATTCGTCGTTAGCTGAAACAGAACAGAATGGCTTCATAAGTCATTAGGGGTCGTCCAATTAATCAAAACAACAATTTTTACTCATTTTATTTGCCCCACCCCACCCTTGTCAATAACTGTCAAACTTTCAATAACACCCCCTCCCCTATGTAATTATGTAAATATTTTATACACCCCCTCCCCCACAACACAATGAATTATGATATAAAATAAATTTATAAATACATTTTAGATTGTGCTGATGTAGGCCTATTTTAATGACACAAAATTGTAGGAAAAGCATTTATACATCTTTAGCTTGTTAAAATAATTACAGGATGAAATATATCTCTTATATATATTTTGCTTGTGATGTGACTGCTTCCATTTCCGGATAGCCGGAAAAATATAATTCCCGATAACTACGCTAAATGATTTTTTTGTTAATAACGCAACTGCTTTTGGTGTGTACTATTTTCTTTCCTTTTGGAAAATGAAATCGTCTCAATTTCAATGTGGTGTACTAAATGATCGGGTTAAAACTGGTTTGGGCATCATGATATTAATAGCGTTCATGGGCGTGAAATTAAAAAGTGAGCAGTGACGTATCTCGGGGGGAGGGGGGGGGTAGCAAAATGGGGATTCTCAAATGTGCGTTACTTGAGTTCAAGTTTTGTCAAGTAAGTTTAGTAGATGGGAAGTTCACGCATTGCCGTCGCCAATGTTTGGCGGGCTATAACTAGTCATTGAATAATTCATCAAAAACATAGATATTATACTTTCTCGATTGTAATTGTCTTTTCCGATTAATCAATCAAAAATACAAACGTTATATCATTTGATACAAGCCAGACAGCTGTTGTTTTTTTAAATATCTAATTAAAACTATAGCACACGATGCTTGTTAGTCTGTGGCTCATTTGTCAAGTCATTTACAAGTACAAGGTTTGGTGTTTTCAGCTGAAAGTCCCTAGTTTACCTTCACTGTATTATAAAATCCTGGTATATGTGATTTAAAAATAAATCTAATGGTCTTTTTCTCTTCTTTGTGTGACAAAAAAAATATCTCTTTCACTTTCGACTTTTCTGTCACTAATTATCAAAATCATACATAGGCCTAGAGCCCAACATTTCTTTGAAATATATATATTTTTTTTTTTTTTTAAGACACCCCAAAATGATGCTCCCACCCCCAGCGCCCCTAACATTTCCCAAGCCCTTTAGTGGTACCAATCCACTTTTAGAACCCCTGGTTTAATAGGGAAAAGGGGGGGGGGGTCTGAAATTACGATAAATTACAATAAATTACGATAACTCAAACACTTTAAAATTCAATTGAGGAAATTGGTTTATTTAGACTTAGAACTTCCACTAATCATCGACAACATCAAATAAGGTTGGTTTTTGTTTTTTCTTTCAAGTGGCGCAATTGCTTTTCCATATAGGCCTACTGCCGAAAAAGATATTTTGCCAACAACTTCCGTATCACTCTTGTGATACCTGTTTTTTTAATGTGAGTTAATTCTTCGTGAGTTTGGTGGTAAGATTTTACTGTCATTGGAGATAAAAGTGGGGGGGCGGGGGGGGGGGCTGGATTTCGCCCTTTGATGACTATCCACTACCCTATGACGGTTTTTTCTACTTCGCTCCTTTCATTGACTAAATAATAAAAAAAATATTATTTCAATTTAATTGGGTCATAATAAAAGACGAACACAATATATAGAAATTAGCTGAAATTGCCGTCCACCCTTATATAAAGAAAAAAGTGCCCAGGGTTTCTTTCAGCTATATCTCCGGGGGGGGG